TGGCACTAAACTTGAACAGTATGCACTGTGGTTGGGTGTAGTGTGTATGGTGGTTTGATTTCTTCTTTATTTATGTGCACAAACATCAGGAAATTCCCACTTTTGAAGACTTGCTCTAACTTTACGTGCGAATGTAAAACCATTGTAACTTAAACTTAGAATTTGACCCAGTATTCGAACATGTGAGTGTCTGAATTCTTACCTCAGTTACCAACGTGGCTGGCACTTGCTTAGGCAGTATTTAAGAGATGAATGTGTTCTCAGCATGGCCCAGCTACAGATCCCTTGAAGTTTGAGAATTTCCCTGGTATAATAGTCTAAACTTTTTTTTTTTTTTCCTATCCCAAAGTGGCTACATCTTTGCAGTGAGTAGCTCTGTAGCTCTCAGAGTACAATAGGATGGCTTTTGTTTTGAGTAGTGTGACAGTGCATTGTACTTCTAACAGTCTCCCTGGTACTTGAAGGGATCCTTTCCAGGTCTGATACGAGCTCACATTAGGGTAGCACATACTCTGGTTGGTAGTTTCTCTTGCATGAGCAATACCTGGGCTTTTCTTGGGTTTTATTTTTGTAGCCTTTGCAGTAGGAAGAAAGATATTTTTCTCTTTAAAAACATAAAGCTGATAGGTTTCCCCTTGTCTTGTACAAGCAAGGATAAATCAGGTTTTTATTTCCTGTCAGCAGCCCCCTCTCCGCTACTGTAACTTTGACACCCCCCCCCCCCCCCCCCCCTTTTCTCTGCACAGAGAAACTTTGAACGTAGGTTGATATTCTACACCTCAGTGCTAGAGTTAATTTTCTGATCAGAAAATGTTCACCTGCCTGTCCCATAGGAGGACCACTGTCACTCAGGTGATTAGTTTCCTTCCCGCTCCATCATTGAATAATGTGTGAAGTTTAGTACTGAGTAAGAATTCTTGTAGATCTATCAACAAGGCAAAACCACCTGCTATCAGTGGGAACTGCATGTATCGGAACGTGTTGGCTTATAAGCTCTTACAGGCATTGGCTATCAGTGTTCATATTTCTTTGGCGTTGTGGTATTGTAATGTAGGACAACCTCATTCTTGAGGACTTAAGAGGCAGCTGGAAAGTACTTGGAAACAAACCTGGCTGAACTGGGAGGTGCTCCCTAACAGAAAGGGAGAGGGCCTTCATGCCTGGTCTATAGAAAGGTGGGTGAGTGGAGTGTAAAGGGCTGTTAATACTTCTTTCTGCAGCTGAATGGAAGGATTGAAAACAACCTTTCAACAGAACTGGAGACAGTAAGGAAAGAACAGCAGTGTGACATTTTTCAGATGGCACTGTTTCTGCAGTTTTTCTTGAGGTCGGAGTGGTAGTAGTGTCCTGGGAAGCTCGACTTTGATTGCCTTGGTTGTGACTCCAAAGTGATGACAAAATAGTTTGTGCAGGATTTCATATCTGTATCTGGCAGCAATACCACCTTACAAGTATCAATTGGAACCAGCTAGGGATTTCATTGTGCTCTTTAATAGGGTTACTTTAATACCTTGCAATGCTGGCTTCTGAAAAGCCTTGCAATTTAATACTTGGTTCGTAAAAGACACATCTATACTGGAGAATAGAAGCCAGCTTTCCTCAGCAGTGGCATAAGGACCTGATCTTCAGGTTTAGTTGCATTATGGCAGGGGGACAGATGAGAAGCTCGCGGGTGGCTTTGTAAATCAGCCATTGGAAAACATTTTTCTCCATGGTTGCGAGTGTGCCTCAAAGTCCTATGAGCTAACCAGTGTCTTTATGGTTGTCATGGATGTAGTTGATTTGGTTTGTTTATGTATTTGTAACTTGTATTAGCAATAATAGTTTTGCAATCCTTTTGAAAACACTTTGTAAATATGGTGGAGCTGGCAGGCTTTTTACAATTCAATAAATTCATCTGAAATAGAATTTCCTTTGGCTTCAGTCTTTCTTCCTTCTACTCCCTTCTCCTTTCTCTCTCCTTTCCAGGACTGATTGGTAAATAAAGCTGACCTTCAGGGTCCCAGAGCTCCTATCAAGCTGTCCTTGATCATATATCATGCAGCCAGTTGGGGGATAAAAATAGCGTTAGAGCAAATGCACTGCCCCACTTCTGCAACGCAAAGAAGTTGGGTTGGAAGGAAATATATACCTATTTGAAACTATGGAGGGGGACTTGGACAGGAACAACATTGAGCGTGTTCTATGTTTAGTTCCAGAACCACTAGAACTAAACAAATGTGCACTGTTGCCTGTGCTTGTGGACCCCCTGCCCCAACCCAGTAATAAGAAGACACATGATGGTCTGTTTAAAACCATAGCTTTGGGAGACAAAGCCAACCTCTTCACAAAGTGCTCCAGTGTCAAGGAGAGTTCTGATTCCAATGAAAAGTTTAATAGACCCCAACCTGTTCTTATTCTTGACCTTTACATAGAAGGTCTTGGATACTGGGATGAGGGGAGGCAGTATAAAGGCCTGAAAAAGGTGGAAAATTCAGGTGGAAAATGAAAGACAAACGTGTGGCTTAGAACAAACGCATACTGAGGAAACTGACTCTTTTTTTTTAAAGCTGACCTTGTGTGTTGAGAGTGAATGAAGAATGGAGCAGAGCTGCTGTCCAATAGCCATTCGAACACTGATACTGTACATCTTGGTGTTGACTGTGGGAGTGCTGCCACCTAATTGCAGGGTGCATTGGTATTTTAAGGAGTTGTTCCAGCCACAAGTCGCCTTTTGTATTTTGTACCCTCGCTAAATTCTGTGTTAGTTGTCTAAGTACCTCAGATTCTTCCTGAGTCAGGAAAAGACCATCTAAATGCTGGCTTGGCTGAGTCCTACTTACCTTTTGTTCAGGAAAGGTTAGAGTGCAAGGCGGGGTTTGTTATGATCAGCTCAGCCTGCACAGCCTGAGGAGACGGGGACCGCTTGGTCATTAGTGGCACTTGGCAATTGTCTCACTTGTCTTCTGTGCAACCTCTCCTGAGCCTTAAATTCCCCTGAGTGGGGGAAGCAGGTATGAGGACAACTCTTGCTGCTCAGGAAATCTCTGAGCTATGATAGGGTAGGGACAGATTGCAGGGATTCAAATGGAGACTGTAAAAAGGTTTAGAGAGAAGGAAACCTCCAACTTGAGACCTGAACAGAACAGGTATTGCTGCCTTTATCTTCCAGTATGGTGGCAAAGGTTCTGGGGTAGACAACTGCAAGAAAGAACTTGACTCCTAGCACCGCACAGAGGAGAGAACTCCATTCTCCTATGGAGAAGAGAAGCTGACTACAACATGAATACTAGCATGTCTTCCTCCTACTGCTTTACTAGCTTATTAATAGGCTCCCAAGCCTCCTTGGGGCTATCGCAACAGAATTTAGCAGAGGTGTTGTCCCCACTATAGTAAGAAGGGGAGAGGTAGAAAGGTCTGTTTAATCCTGCTCCTTAAATTATGCTGGCAAAAGGGGGAGGTTAGTGAATATCAGACTGTAGATGTTACTGTGCTGCGAAGTCAAGCTCAATGTGATAAAGTGGCCTGAGAATCACTTCTGAATGCTGTTTTTTCAGAAGGAGAGATTGAACAACAGTTGCAGATGGTGACACAGATGCTATAACTACTCTCTCAGGCTCCAGAAAGCAGTGGTGTCCCTAGTGGGAGCCCCAGATTGGTCACTGGTGTTAGAAGTGCTGTGTCTGTCAGTATATATTTCACTAACATAACTGTGTTTTTCCTCAGACCTCCTCCAGCTGCTCTTTCTCAACATTGCATATAAGCTTGAGCCATTTCCCCATGCTCTGCCTGGCAGTTGCTTAAAAGGAAAAGGTACTAGCAGGTAGTTACTAGGCAAGGGAAATTCTCTTTTCTAGAGAAGCTGTGAGAGCCCTGGTGACAGCAATTGTTTAAGTAGATGTTTTGGTTGTTTTTGGCCTCAACAGTTGCAGAGCCAAGCAGTGCTTTGCTGCTACCTTCCAAGTCAGTCATTTCTAGCCATTAGGAGCAAGCAGCACAGTGTGGTACCATGGAGGACCCTGATGCTACTAAAGCTATAAATGGATGTGTTTTTATTTTCAATCGACAATATTTTCCCTCTCTGTTCCCGGTGGCTTACCTAGCAGAGGCAGCAGTCCTGGAAAGAAAGGAGATACGTGTGCTATTAATCCCATCCACCAAACTGGGGATGCCTTGCTGGGGAGTTACCTAGTAAATTCCCCTTGTCTGACAGATGCTTGTCAGGCCCTCCGAACTGCTGTAGCGTGCTTGTGCAGTGCTGCAGGTAAAGCTGAGCTAGTTCCCCAGTTTAGGTCTGTGGTTCTGCAGCTGCTCCAAAACTCCACAGATTATGGATCCCAGGACCTGTTCAGAAGGCAACAGGTGTAAAGGCTAAGCTAGGAGTGGGCAAGCAGGTGTAAAGATCTGCAAGTGTCTCTAAGGTCAAAGCAATTGCTCTTGACAAAGATTGCAACCATAGACTTGACTTGCAGAAATGCAAGTAGACAACAGGTGGAGCAAGTGCATCGTGGTAAGTACGTGTGGAAAACCAGGAACAATTTTATGCTCCTATGTGCACGTAGGAAGAATAAGGCGTTTTCAACCACTCCTGAAGGGCGGCATGTCTTAGTTCTGTTTGCCAGCACTGCCCTATAATTTAGCAAGTGGTGCAAAGGTGACTTAGTTCTGATGTGAAATAAGTTGCAATCATCACTTAGGCTTCTGGTACAAATCAGAGTGATTAGCCTATTTTTTGTCTTGCATCAGCAGCTTCGCTGGTCTAGGTAAATTCAACAGGAGCAAGATTGGCAGTTTGCTGATAAATATTTAGTCTGCAAAAAACTTCAACCCTCCTGTCCCCAACCAATCCCAGTCAGTGGTAATACCTTAATAACTTTGTACGAGTCAGAAGAGGCGAGGGGGGAAAAGTCACTGTTGCATGAGAGGAAGTCAGTGATGAGCAGATGCCAAATACCTGAAAGAAATTGGAGCCTT